GGAATTAAAAAAAAACAAAAGCAAATAGCCTATGCGGTGTCTAGACTAACCTCTACATCTATGCCAAATTTCATTTAGATCCCTTCAGACATTTAGGCTACAAACTCTAACAAACATCCATCCATCTACCATCCATCCATCTAAACTTTCGCATTTATAATATTAGTAAGATTAGTAAGATCAAGATCAGACCATCGGACGACAATAAACACGAAAACTGTTCATATTAACTTGATACTTTATTAAAAACTCACATTCCGAAATATTAAGATTATTATAAGTAGTAAACTATATTCGATGATTAAGCACTTTTAAGATAAATTCCTCATACTTAGATAAGTTCTTAACTTTGTGATTGTAGAATAAATATTACATCTATAGCTTTAGGTAACTCTTCAGTTTTGACTTTAAATTAGAATTTGAACAAATCAGGAGCCGCACAAGTAACTCGTTGTGAATAAACCTTTATCGTTCGCTCTATATCATCAAAGTAACAACTAACATCGAATTATATGATACCTCGGATACTTTAAAGCAAACGTAAATATAACTAAGTAAGCAATTAATGCGTAACTGACAAGTCAAGGTCAATTTAGCGTTTATACTATGTGCATAGTCTTACTGCAAAATTACAAGATCCCATAGTTGTAGGAGTTAATTATAAATTATTGACATCGGAATTATAACAATACTACCTTACGACCGCGACTCTGTTCGCGTGGAATTAAAAAAAAAAACAAAAGTAAAAAAACAAAAATGAATGCCTATGTGTTCCAGACTATCCTCTACATCTATACCAAATTTCATCGAGTCTTTCAGCCGTTTAGCCTACAAACTAACAAACGTCCATCCAACTAAACTTTCGCATTTATATTATTAGTAAGAAGTAAAGTTATCAATTTGAGTAATGTCCACCTTGACCAGCCCTACACTTTACCTTTATTTCGTGTTATTTATCGATTAACATACATTTTAAAGTACTTTTAATATTTTAAAATTTCAACTTGAGTTCACTAAGGGCAGAGCAAACCGTAAACGATAATCATTTCAGTGAATTCCCACTGTATCGAAACATGTCCTAACTTTTAACAACAACGCGATCTTCACCCGCAAAAGTGTAGACTTTGACTTCATATAAAAGTTTAATTCAAGTACACTTTAATGATAAAAAACAAACGGTTCTTTGGCCTGACCGATCCTTCAAAGCCATATTTGTTTGAATATTTATAACCTTTTGTTGTATCCGAGTCAATATTTAATTAATAAAACTGCACTGGATTCTAAATCTTGTACTTTCGGTCAACGCACTCGTTACTAGGTGACGTGTATTGCAGCTGGACGAAACCGGTCGTCACACTTCCATAGGCCGCTGTGTTAGTCGTAATCGATGTGATTGAACAATTTTTTATACATTGCCAGCAATGGCGTTGATATTACTAATGTTTCCGTTAAGCTTTTAATGTAATCTTTGTGTAATTATTTTGTGTCTTCGTGACTTAAGATAAAAATCTAACGATAAATATTTTCAACAACAAATGTATTTATACTAGAGAGGATTATCACATAAACAAGAGAGTAAAAAGGTAGAGGAAGACCAAAGCAAGTAAGGATAGATTGTATCGAAGTGTATTTTTTGACCGACTTCCCAAAAGAAGGAGGTACTCAATTCATCGATATGTATTTTTTTTATTTTTTATGTGTGTTACGGCATAACTCCGCCGCTAGTGGACCGATTTTGATAATTCTTTTTTTATCCGAAAGGTAATGCTTGCAGGTGGGTCCCATTTTTTGTTTGATTTTTTATTAGTAGTTTAGATTAGTAAACTAAACACACACTAAAAATCCATACTCCGATGAAAAATCTTAACTATGCTTTTTGTTCAAATTTCTATGAAGACATTAAAAATTAGTAATGAACAGATTTAATTTATACAAAGTTAGTGATAACAAAGTATTAAATTAAGTATATTGTGCTAAAAGCATTTGACGTTAAAACAGATTAAGCGAAACGTTCGCGAACGCAAACAACTTTACTCTCTAATCCAATGTAAATTTCCTTTTCAAACATTTCTGTCTAACTTAATACTACGTATTTACTTGTGTATTGTCGACCTATTTATATTTACAGTTCTATTCTTTAATCATTTCCTCAAATTCATTACTTTACTTGATACTAGATGTTCCCATGCGACTTCATCCACATAGAATTATAAAAAAATCATTTTATTATTCACACTTGTCAAGTTATCAATTGCAAATGTCAAAATGACATGACATGATGTCAAACCATGGCAACCTTGCTAACTTGATGTTCGCAACAACTTATGGTCTCTTTCCCACATTAGGGTTTTAATCCAAAATATTTATCCCCTAAGTTTAACGGCGTGAAAATATAAAGCCTTAAGCGTGACGTAAGTGTACAACAAAGAAGTGTGTGTTTACGCTTTATTATAATAGTATAGATGAACGTTTCTTTTAGCTATATCGAAATATGGTAGTCTTAATGGTCTACCTATCAAGTGATACCTAATACTGGGTAACTTAGAAACCCTGTTAGTGTAATGGGCGATAATATCGTTTATGATTAGTTAAAACAGTGAGGCAATCAATCATAACTTCTTACCACCAGGCTTTTATAACTAAATAATAATTTAACTTCCTATATTTAGGTATCTCTTTGTCTTGATTTGATAACTATAAAATATCTGTATTCTTGTTAATCTTACTAATATAAATAAGAAAGTTTAGATGTATGGATGTTTGTTAGAGTTTGTAGTCTAAATTGTTGAACGGAACTCGATATAATTTGGTATTGATGTAGAGGATTGTCTGGAAGAACATATAAGCTTATTGTTTTTTTTATTTCACACGAACAGAGTCGTGGGCGTAAGTTAGTAAAATACATATACAATTGTCTATTTGGTTAAAAGATCTTTTATGATTTAAGTAAAATGGAAATAGTTTCTCGCGTTCATGATTTCCATCATATAAATTTCCATCAATAATAATTATAATATTGATTCATAATTAAACGTTTGACGCCTGTTTCCGCAATTAATGCGTTAATCTGCCAACTGGAGTGATAAATTACTAATCAAACAATCATTACATACGTTTACTTTCAAACTCAGTGGATGTTAATATTTGAAATTACGCTTTTAAACATTTTACTGCTTTAATAATCACTAATACGTACTCATACTTTACTGTGTCAATTAATGACTACTAGTTGAAATATGTATCCGAATTAGGGCCCTTCAAGATAGAAGCGTACTCCTTTTTTAAAGGCCGGCGAAGCATCCGTGGTTCCGCTGACGTTGCAGATGTTTATGGGCGTTGAATCAAATTAAGTCTTCCGATGTTTTATTGTCCGTTTATAAAAAATAATAAATAGATTAAATATATGTATGTTTATATGAAGTGTAATGTATGTGTTTAAAATTTAAAAGTAAAATTGCTTGTTTAAAGAAAACTAAGATGTATACAGACATAATTCAACAGAACAACATTTCTTTGTCGGTTTCAATGTATAACATTACGTCAATGTCAGCACGCCCGACGTAAATATACGACCATAGCAAAATCCCACACACGCTTCCTCTTGCAAATCATATGTTTGTATTATCGTCACGTTTAATTAATTGTAATTTTAAATACAGAGTATGTATTGATCAAGCGATGAATAAGAAAACAGATTTTCAATTGTTTTAACGCCTGAACCGATTTTGGAAAGCCTATGTTGGTATGCAACCGTTTTGTTTAAGAACATTGAATCAATTTTGGCATTTTATTACATGTTATATACACAGTTCTACAGTGGACAATATCAATTTTCTCATGCGATATTACGTAAATTAATTGCCCATTATACGTCTGGCCTTTCAAACTCACAGTTCCTTAAACACAAGTAAAAATTCTGGTTAAAATGCTTACGAATCGATAGAACCAGATTAGAATAATGTACTTATATTTGAATAGTAATTTCCTTGTTACTATGTTTTTCTATTTACACTATACTATGATAAATTGACCACTCAACTACGTGAATAAAATAAGTTTTTTTTAAGTTAATATAAAATTATTACATGTAATGGTGATATATTGCGTAAATTATTTTAAATAATCGACACACTGTCATGGCAACATCCATTAGGTAAAAAAAGATTGTAAAAAATATGTAAAGACGATAAACACTACTAATGACTTTTTATACAGACTTCGCTAAGATACTAACTCTTGACAAAAATGTTTTAATAATTAATTTTTACCCATTTTTAATATGTGACTATTCACATATATTTATTTAGATACGATTTTATCAAACATTTATGGAAATAGTTAAAAAAGTTATCGAAAACTTGTAAACGATTTGTTACATTTCTGATCTTGCGATTGATAAAACTATTGTCTTTTGTTTTTTTAGTAGTGTCTTTAAAGAGAAAATGTCAATGTTACATTTTATTATATGGCGTTGTATTAGGACTGCTGAAGACTGTTTTCGGTTGGCACTATCAAAACGCTTTGTCTATGTTCTGACAAAAAGCTGCGTTTACGTAACTTAACAGTGTGTTATTGTTTACATGACATTAGGATATAAAGTTTTCTTAATATTGTAATTCTCGTAATATTTTTCTTTGTATCCATTTACTTTATGCGTATAAAATAATATACGGAAACTCACAACAATATTTATGTAAATCATGTTCGTACAATCAATTAAGTTATGTAAGTGAAATTAAGCCGTTCAATGAAACTAGGTCATTGAAAACTTAAATAACTTATAACGAATAAGTTTAACAACATAACTAATTAATAACTTCCTTCGTGAGTTGTGTTAATAATACACGAATTATGTCTAAATTATCTCATTTTAATGGACCCTTTTAAGTAAATTTTTAGATCTCAAAGCAAAAACTTACGCTCTTCTAATACTTTAACTTAAGTTTATTAACTTACAAAAATTATATGTTTACTTTAGATAATAAGTTTTAAATACTTACTTTTGAGCGCCCATCTTTTGTTCTGAAGTAACCCGTCCAGAAATTTATATCCCTGTTCCCTACACGCTCTTTCCTTAACATTCGCAACAGCCGTAGTCAGTGACAGCAAATCGCTCGCAAGCACAACCGACGACGCGTAATCAGGAGACTCCTCTATTGATTTCAATACAGGATTCTTTCCGCCGCCGCCACCATCCACATTCGCAATATAGGAAAAGTCATCAGCAAGTTTAGCTGCAGTTTTTGCTGTAGTTGCAATCTTTTCAACTAGTTCCCTATCTACTCCCAATGGACTGATCAGTTCAAGTGTCTTTGTAGCGGTATCAGCTAAAGGTGTTATTCGTTTAAGTATTTTCTCTGTAAGTTTAGTTTCGTTCACATTTTGACCTGTGATCGCGCACACGATCGTGAGTAGTATTGCTGCGGAGAGCATCGCGAACGTGCGCGTGCGCTGCGCCGGTAACTAACTACGACTGAGGCGAACGTAGGCCTTCGAGGAACGATCAATGAAACGGAGCCTCGATACGTTGTCCGCATAACACTGGCCATTTCGCTATTAAAATTGCTTCATTGTCTGTTAGTGATTTTATTCCGTCACTAACGTATGGCTAAATACAGAAGTCTGATAGAATCGTCACTTTCTTTAAATCAGCTTACAACAATGGAATTTCATGACATTAATTGTGATAATTATCTTTTTGCAATTTTTTTTAAGTTTAGGTTCCATTTATATGAAACGCAAAAAAAACGGCTATTTATTTAATTTCTTGAATTATCACCATCTCAGTTTATATGGTGATAATTTGGTGATAACAGCCAATTCTGTACGTGTAAAAGTTTAAAGTATGGAAATGTATTCATGGAATTTCATTCGCAGGATGGCAATTTTTACGTCATAAATTTTAATACGTTAACATATAAAAAGATTGTTCGAATATTTCTAGATTACGCGGAATTATTTTTATAGATTTTTTTTATCAATCACGTTTTACTATAAATGACATCGTGATTCACGTTGAAGTATTAACATTAAAAATTGCACTTATAGTGATGGTAGAGGACGTTACTAACGGTGCTAATTGCTACTAAACCAAGAAAGTTATGATTCATGATATTCTAACGTTTTGTCTAGTTTTTGAAATTCCAGATAAGGATCCACTACATATCATATCAACAGCTTAAAACAATCAACCAAACCAATGTATGCATGCAAAAATCGTTATGATTGATGCTACAATAATAATATACTCGTATGTTATTGTTAAACGAATAATGTTAAAAAGTAAAACTATGCTTCAGTTCGCATAAAATTTAATTATAAATATTCATCGTTCTCTTGAGTATCGATAATGTTGAGCACCGCTGTGTCCATTGCCGTTGCCGGTCACTTCCCAATCGTCGAGATCTCTGTCGTCGCTATTTCTAGAAAAAGATCTCCTTTGAGCATTCTCGTCTCTATTTGCCCAAAAGTCTTCATCCTCACCCTGTTCCTCTTCTATCACTTCTAATTCTTCTTCGTTCCGTTCATGTTCCTCATCCATACCTTCCTCGTTTTCTTCCTCTTCTAAAATTTCATCTAATCCTTCATTTGTTAATCTCTGATGTTCATATTCCATTTCAACTTCTGGAATTTCTTCTAACACTTCTCGATGAGCAATAAGAGTTTGCCTATTTCTAATTAAAGGCGGTTCTGTTACCTTTTCATTCTTTTTTGGACTTCCTGTTTGTGATTGGGCTTTTTGGGATTCTTCAGAACCTGGATTTTCATTTTTAATTTCGTTTGTTTTTGACACTAAGAAAAGAATCTTTGGTAATGACTGCATTGGAATTACAAATGTTAACGTCAACAAAATTGATGATAGAAATATTAAAGATATTTCTTGGACATCGATCTGAAACAAAGGGGTTCCCATTATTACCATATTCTTTGTAGCATGCTACTTTTATGTTTAGATGACCAAAAACATAACGAAATCCATCTAGTTCTTGGATGATATTATGTAGAAATAGCAATGTAGACGAAATAAATTGCAATACATTATTTAGCTCATACTCACCAGAGACATTAAGGTAAATTCGCTAGCGGTCCTAACTGTAGCCGCATTAGTCAGAAACACAACGAACTGACAGAGATAGAGGGCATACGAAAGACGACTGATAAGGGTTAATGGACGACTGCATAGTATGTTCTGCAGGAAATCTGTAAATAAAAAAATGCACAATTTAATAATTTATGTTATTACAACAAAATTATATCACCAGCCAGTGTTAATAGATAAATCGAAACAAACGTATTTGGATTATGAATACAAAATACATAATTAGTGAACCTGATGCGTTGAATTTCGCACGTGTAGATTCTTCGACCAGCTATTTTGATTACCATTTTCTCTGGTCTCGTGTATGTTAATAGTCGGAGGTTACTAACTGTTATTGACATTTAATATCTTTAAAAAAATCATTTTAATAATATAATAATTATTTATCAAATTAAAATTAAAATATACTTTACATTAGTTTTAAATATATCCCGGTTCTTACTCTTACATGACTTTTTTTATTAATGTTACTGAATTTATTATTGATAAATTAATATTTAAGCAAAAACCATCAAATAAAATATTAAAATTACAATTTGTGTTAAAACAGGATCATGCCAAGTTAATAAATTAGTGAAGCTATGAGAACAACTTATTGAAACCAATGTTTATTTTAGTTGCAAATTGTTTCCGCGAATGGTCTAACCAGATTTAGTTTCACACTGACCACAATGACCACCGTGGACCGCGTATATCAGCCAGGCGATTGCCAAAGCGGAGGCAATGGGTGCCAACGCTGCGTACTGCGCCGCGAATGTTGCATTGTATCTGTACTGGGTCGAGCCAGAATCGAAGCCCGCCCACCACACGGATCCCCACAGCGCACCACTGATTAACCACCCAAATATCAGTAATATCTGAAACAAATAAATGTCATTTACAGTTTTTTAACATCACATT